AAAGTATAAATTTAGTTTGTATAATACAAGATGTTGTATCACTCAACCGTAGGAGAAGATTCGACCATTTTATATTTGCTAATTACGTGAATCATTAAATAAATGATTAAAGAGAGACGACTCTAAAACATTAAAAGAGCGAATTTATAAAATCATTTAGTACATTTACGGGGTACTAAACAAACTTCTATTAACTACATGTAACGAAATATGTCACATCTACATAAGCAAGTGTCAATAAATTGCTACGGTGAAAAGGGTTGATTGTTATATTGACGTTCAACTAAATGAAATTGTCAAAATCTTTCTATCATCTACTTTTTCTTCGTTTCATTTTTCACTCGCCCTCCATAACCCTTTCTTTATTTCTTTCTTTGCCTTCTCCGTCTAACCCAAATTAGTATACTATTTTTATGTATTCTAATCACAAGTATAAACGGGTCCATACACGACTCACCAACAGTCTAGAAAACTAATAATTGAACCATGAACCACTAACTTTTTCAGCTCAATGTCCATTCCACTAAAAAATAAATAAATATGGTTATTACTTATTAGAAAGTCGTCATTTTTCGATATGAGATTTGAGGGCGTGAAATTTTGAGCGATTTCTGGTTTGTATTCGTTTTGCTTCTCTATATAGTTTTTCTTTTCCACCCGGGCTAGAATTTTCAACAATTATACATGTAATGTTTGTCTAGGTATCTACACATTTCAAATAAATAGTTTTATTTTCTATAAAAAAAAGTAAATGACTATCATCTTAAATACATCATCATAAAAGGAATTAAACCTCAACTATGCAAATCACAGTTCTGTAACTAAACTTCATAGATCTTTAGATTTATAACCTAAATTAATTTTTTTGCATATAAGTCCTCAAAATGTTGATGAAACATCATTTTAGTACCTAATTTTTTTGTGTTACATTTTGGTACCTAAACTTTTAAAGTTCTACAAATAGGTTTAAATTTTGTATGTGTAATTAAACGCTCTTGAATAAATGGGTATTCATACCCAATTCATACACATTTAGATTATCAAAGTAAATATCCAAACCCTACCCAAACCCATCTACAAACTTCCAAACCCATATATACGTCACCCATTACCTACATATAATCAATGGGTCTACTTGGGTTTAGGTAAATATCATTTACAAGCCAAATTTTTTTTAATTGGATGTTGACCGTCATATTTCTCTTCTCAGTCAATATCATATGGTCAAGCCAATATTACTAACAAAACTGCTAACAAAAAATTATTTTTACGCTAATAATACTAACAAAACATCATAACGGGACACATAATACATGCTCATAGGCCATCTCCGTCCGCGACAAGGCGCGGCATCGCTACCTAGTTTACTTTAAAATTTGGTCTTCCAAGTGAGCTCTCATGTATTGAGCATTTGAGATGAATTTGCTCTTGATTGTATCGAGGGTGGTTTTCACGTCATCGTGGTACTTCTTCAACATGCTACTTCATATTGTTGATCAATCTCTAATGTGCCCTATATATTATTTCACAAGATATAATTTCATATCTATATCGTACCATGATGAATAAAGATGGTAACTATTGAGAAATAGTGTTTGATTAAACTACATGAATGGACCATCATTTTCTTTTATGATTAAGAATGATTTTGTGTGTGTAATGGAAGAAAACTCTCATATTGTCCTGCATGAAATACAAAATAAATAGATATTTCTAAATATCGCTATTAGTTGTTTATATTTTTATTCATTTCTATATGTAATTATTTTTATCTATACAGAAAATTACATATTATAAATGACAACATATCAAAATATATAATAATCAAACTCTCCCGACCAAGAGCCAAACCCGGTACTAGTTAAACTGGATTCCTATTTGCAGCCCTAAATAAACTGAACAAACAAAATTACCCCTCCAACCATTTTCAATCGAAGCCCTATCCCCTCCCCTAATCTGTCTCGCCGCCGCCCTTCTGTCTTGCCGCCGCCCTTCGCCAGGAGTGAGCGCCGCCGCCGCCCTTCGCCCTCCCGTCGCTGGAAGCCCCCTCCCTCCAACCCTTTCCTGGATGAGCGCCACCGCCGCCGCTCCAATCGCCCCAATTACCTCTCTCCAACAGTGCTTTGCAAAGGGGTTAAGACTTGGAAGTACTTACGGAGGGCAGAAGGGATTTGAAAGGGCTGGAGGCAAGGCTGCTCTGATCGGAGAGAAAAGTCTGAGGAACGGCTGAGTTGGAGATGCAGCGCACCAATGCAGACAGTATCACCATTAGAAACATACGAAGTATAAGACATCGTCTCATTCTGAGACATGCAATGCTCCGCCGAGTAATCTTTCAATTGGGTGAGGTAGTAGGCTGTTGAGGTCAGCGGAATTAGGGATTTTTCTTTGGCTGGAAGTGAAGGGATGGCGGAGTGCGGTTCCTCAGGGTTCTCAGAAATGATTCTGGCGGAAGTTTTGATCCATTGACGCCATCGTGATTTTGATTTTCAGGGTCGGCTGGTCGTCGTCGCTCCAATCGCCCCAATTACCTCTCTCCAATCGCCCCACTGGATGAGCGCCGCCGCCGCCGATCGCCCCACTGGTCGCCGTCCGGTCATGTCTTCCGGCTTCCGCTGCACCTATCCAGAACGCGGAAGAGAGAAAAATCTCTCCGTTTAAAAAAAAAAAGTCTCTGCCGGTCAGCGATAGTAGGAGGAAAGAAGGGACCGCCCAGTCGGGTCAAACCACACGAATTGGTTGGGTCTGGTCTGGTTGGACATTTGAATCTGCTCTATTTGGACAAACAACTAACAAAACCAAAAAATAACTAAAATAAAATAATTTAAAAAATAGTTCCTCAAAGGAAAAGGACATTACAATTATTAAATTTGGTTATTTAGAAGCTTAATTAGTAGTAGTCCTTATTAAAGTAACAAGTAGTATTATGTTTCCTAGTTAGTGTAGGATTTGTTTTTCTATTTCTATAAGGTTAGTTTCATGCTTTTGGAACCTCTATAAATAGAGAGTTTAAGACCTACGAATTTTATAGAACATAATAGCAATCAAGACGTCTAATCGAAGATAATCAAGTTCGATTAAGGATATTTACTTTAGAGATTATTATGAGTAATTCAGTAAGTACTTTGTTTGTTTGTTGTTTGATAGTTCCATTATTGTACCATAATTATTGCTTTTCTTAACCTTATATATATTTACCATATTTAATTGTAGGGAGATTTTGGCGAGAATGAGGGTGACAATTTTGATTACACATCATTGTTCATAAGCGATGTTGTTTATGATACCCATGTCGAAGCTTGTGCGGCGGCAAAGGAGATTGCCCAAAGAAATAGGTTTTTCTTGGTTGTGGAATCAACCAAGCGAAATTATGGAGAAGACTATCCGCGGATATATATGGATTGCAACCATGGTAAGAGGAGCAAATCATACACCCCAGATTTGGCAAAGACAAGACGCATATCAAAATCAGGCAAGCAAGGTTGTCAGTTCCGAGTGGTAGTGCGGAGTTCATTGGTAGATGGCAAATGTAAGTGGAGAATTTTGGGTGTTACGGACAGATCTGGGAAGCCAAAGGGATTTCAAAATCACAAATTGGAAGTTTATGCTGAAGGAAGCAAGCAAAGGAATGCTCTTTCAAATGAGGAAAAGATTGAAATTAAGGAGTTGGAGGCAACACATACTCGGGCGAAAGATATAAGAAGTTTTATAAATAGGAAGTTTGATGCTCATCACAACATGGATCAAGTTTATAATGAGACATCAAAGATTAGGCGTGAGAGATTGGATGGTCTTTCCCCTATGCGGTGGACATTTATAGAAGCTGACCGTCTTGGCTACTTCATTGGAGTTGATTTTGATGAAGACCGTCGTGTTACTAGACTCTTCCTTTCCCATCCGGAGTCTATTAAGATGTTGAGCGCATGGTATTTTGTTATTTTGATAGACTCGACGTACAAGACCAACAAGTATAAGCAACCACTGGTTCAGTTGATTGGTGTTAGTCCGGTGAAGAAGAACTTCAACATAGGGTTCGCATTGGTTTCAGATGAGACAAAGGAGACATATGCTTGGGTATTGTCGCAATTGAAGAATGTTCTTGGTGGTCGAAGACCAGATGCGTTCGTCACCGATAAGGAGGGCGGGTTGGGTGTATCCCTGCGTGAGATCTTTCCATCTTCAGCTCATTTACTATGTGTGTGGCACATGAAGAAGAACATTGAAGCCAAGATGATGTCTCTCGGGATAAGTCGAGAATCTGCAGAGGCGTTTGTAGCAGGGCCTTGGCAGACACTCATGAATGCCAACACTCAGGGAGGGTTCCAGCGACGGTGGGTAGACTTGCAAACTAGTGATTGGGGTAAAAACTCACGCTTCATGAACTACTTGAGGGGTGAGTGGATACCATGTGTGCAAAGGTGGGCTCATTGCTACACCAATCGTGTTTTCCATATTGGTAACACGAGCACAAACAGGGTAGAGTCATCTCATTCATCCTTGAAGAAATGGCTTGCCAGTTCGACCCACAAGATCGACACTCTCTTTCTTAGATATCACACATCCATTGAGGGAAAAGTGATTGAACTAAGAAAGGACTTAGAGGATTCGCGTTTGAAGGTATGTTCCTTGTTTCTTCAATTGTGTTGATATTCCCCCATATACTCAATTTGATTTTGATGTAGAAATTCGTTCTTTTAAATAGGTATTTAAGTTAGCTGACGGTCCGCCATATGGTCACTTGAATATGGAAGTAAGCTTGTGGGCAATTGAGTTGTTGATGAAAGAACGAGCAAGAGAAATTGTTGAGCGATGTGGATGTCGGCTACATGAGACACATGGTCTACCATGTAAATGTAAGATGGATGCACTTAGTGATGCCGGCGTGGAGTTACACCCTCACCACTTACATCGATTCTGGTCATCTTTGGTGTATGAGAGTCCTCCTGATGGTGCAAAATGGGGGGGACCATGATGCCACTGAGCGGGGCATTTTTGCAGCCATGGTGGCAGATGTGTACAGGCAAGGACCAGCTGCTGTCCGGAAGGCATCTCAATTACTACTCCCTCATATCCGTCCACAAGTTGCAGGCCTACTAGAGCCTAGGGAGTCAGAGGCTCCAAAGGGGCGACCACCAAAGAGGTCGAACACTAGAGATCCTTCTTGGTTTGAGCACGAGAGGGCACGGTCGGCAAAGAGGAGCAAAACAAATCAAAACACGAAAAAGACACAGAAGACGACTCCTACAGGTTAGCAAATTTCTTATATTTTTTTGTGTAATCATAGTCACTGGTATGTAGCCGTTTCCATTAGTTAATTTTTTGTCTCAACAGGAGGTGTCTCGAAAAGTCAGCATATGCAAGTCCACAATGAGAGAAATGTGTGTCCCTATCTCCGCTACATCCCACCTAGTGTGCGCCCTCTTCTTAGAGGTTTGTTTGACCCAATTCCAGACGGACAATGTGGTTTTCGGGCCATGTCACATGCGATTTATGGAGACGAGGGACACTACTTACAAATGAGGCAACATCTTATCACAGAAATCAATAATCATTGGGCTATCTATGAGGGAGTTTATCTTTCCAGAGATGGATCGTTGGAGGCAGTACGTCACAGGATTGATTGTCGGACCGCTGGGAGTTGCACCCAAGAGTATTGGTGTGAAGAGATGGATTTGTTGACATTCGCAACCCTATACAACTGTGCAATGGTTGTTTATGCGGGTGACGTATGGGTACACCGTCTTACCTATGACGGCGCCGGAGGGGGTCACTCAACCTAGTCAGTTTATAAAGCTGGTTTTTACTGGGGCACATTGGGTGCGACTATATGTCGGCGAAGTTGATGGGGTGACACCAATACCTCCTTTTAGTCCACAGTGGTCTCACTTCCGGGATATGCTAAGAGTTGCTGATTGGGATTCATTATATGAGGCGGAGCGTCAATTGTATATCGATCTTGGAGGACATCATCCCGCCAATGATGATGAGAGTGATTAAACTTTGCTGCATTATATTTTCCGTTTGAAGATTGAACATTATGTCGAATTAGTTATGGATTTACCTTTCTCCTATGATCAAGTGATTTTTTTTATGAAAGTTAACATTATTCTAAAATTTTAGATATGAAGATGATTGTAATTATCCATTTTTGGATAGAATCATATTGTCTTTAAGCCCTACTTATAAGTATTATTTACTAATCATATAATTTAAGCATGGATTATAGCAGTTCATCACTAATCATATAAATTCATCTCTAATAACAAATGTACATTAATTGTAAAATTTAAATCACTATATTTAAAAATTAAATGTAAATCTCAATGATTGTACATTATCACTAATTAATTATAAAACACAATATTCAAAAAAATTTACATTAATCATATATATAACAATAAAATCATCACTAATAATAATAATTGTACATTAATTCTATCTAAATCACTTATTGAAACAACCAAAACCGAACCGGACATAAAGCTGGTCTTGCCATTCATGGGTTCTTCGCTACCCGACCAATTATCCGACCCGCGACCCGCCTGAGGAGTCAGGACAGGCCGGTATCCCTGGGAGGTCAACGGCGCCGGTCCGTCTTCCTATATCTGGGAGAACGTCGACCTTCGCTCCTCACCGTCGCTCCGCAGCAGCCGCAGCGACTGAACTCGGAATTCCAGGGGGAACGGCGGCTTGGCTGCGACGGGGGAGCTGGGCGATGTTCATCCAGGGAGAACGAGCGACAGTAGGGCGGATACGAGCGACGGGGGAGCGCGGGCCTTGGTTGCGACGGTAGGGCGGGACGGATTTGGGGGCGAACGGCGGCTTGGCTGCGACGGGGGAGCTGGGCGATGTTCATCCAGGGAGAACGAGCGACGGTGGGGCGGATACGAGCGACGGGGGAGCTGGGCCTTGGTTGCGACGGTAGGGCGGGACGGATTTGGGGGCGATTGGGAGAGGGGGGTTCCTGCGACGGGAGGGCGAACGGCGGCGGCGCTCATCCAGTGGGGCGATTGGAGCGACGGCGACCAACTGGCTGGGGAGGTACTACGGCGAAGGCGTTATTTTAGGGATTGAGAATTTTTGAGGGCGAAAGTCAAATTATTAAGTTAGGGCTGAAATTTTAAAAAATTTAGGGCTTTAATTAGTACCTCCCTAGTTAAAGGGATAAAGATTATATAAATGAGTAATAAACTAAAACAAAATGTCAACAAACGCCTTCCAAAATGGCTACATCTAAACATGAGTCGTCTCCCCACTTAGGTAACCAGTTCGTAGAGCGAGAGTGAGAGCGGGAGCGAGAGCGTGAGAGCGTCTCTTGTTTGAGAATTCATATCTGAGAGCGTCACACTAAATTATTTTAAATAATATATAATGATAATTTACACTAACATTAATCATCTACAAGGAAATTTTTTTATCATTGTAGTAATTAATAGCTATTCTAGTGAAGTGTTAGATTCATTTCACTAGGAAATTTGATCTCCAATTCATATACAAAATTGGATCAATTAAGAAATTAGATTTAGCGACCCAAAATGCTAGAGAATCTGTAAATTTGATTAAAAACTCAAATTACATACTTGTAAACACCCATGAGGCATTTCCATATATATTATTTTTATTATTTATTCATGAATAATGCAAACCTCAAATTTGTAAATATAAAACGTGAATTTATAATAATGAGTAAATTTGATACACAATATACTATTTTGAGAAAAAATTATCATTTGGCAACCATTGTATTGGGGTGAATGCCACGTTTGGTCACTGGGATTATTAAATCGTGTCATGTTTAGTCACTAGAAAAAATTAATATCATATATGGTCACTCGAATTACTAAAACAAGTCATATTTAGTCACTCTCCGTTAGTCTCCGTCCAACTCCGTTAATGGAGTCTGTTATGTGCTTATGTGGCTAACAGGAGCGCCTAGTCAGCACTGTTTTGGGTCGGAAATGGTCAAACCCGACCCGCCACGTCACAAAACCTGCCATGTCATACACTCAACCCATTAACCCAACCTGACCCAGAACTAAACCTGACCCTATTCTCATCTCTCCCACGCCTCCGCGCTTCTCCCTCTTCCATTTAACATCGTCGGGAAACCCTCCCCTTATGTTTCAAACCCGACACATGATTTATTGGTTTGAGAAAATAAATTAAACAACGATGGATGTTTGAGAGGAAGGGCTTTGGGGCTGGAGAGTGAAGATGAAACAGTTGAGAGAGAGATGCGAAAGCAGAGGAAGAGAAGAGCTTTGAAGGGTTGGGGCCTTTGGGGATATGGATTCTCCGGTTCAACGAATTGGATCACTTTCCAGTCGCAAACTCTCTTCCCTAATCTAACTCACTACGCCAACACTGCCACAAACAGGTTTAGATTCAAACGAAAACTCATCATCCTCCTCCATGGAATTGGGTTGGAAGTTCATGGACGACCCACTAGTATTGACTGATCTGGATGGCAGCCACTTCACTTAACCTTCACCTTTGATAAGCACAGAAGGAGACAGAAAACCCAGATCTGAAATCAACCACTATTTCAAAGGACACAAGGAGACACAACCTGCAATCCCTGAATCCTCGATCGACAAAGGAAGACGTGAGCGGCGGAGACAATGGAGAGAGGGAATCGATGGGATGGGATCGACCGATTGGGTCGTCGTGTGTCTCAATCTGCTGCTACTGCCGCTGTGCTGTAATGTGCTGCTACTTGGCCGCTGTCGATATGCTGTTGCCTGTGATGGAGGAAGTGAGCACAAGAGATGATGAGCAGGGGGAGGGTTCTGAGTGGCGGAGACGAAGAGGAGGAAGGGTTATTAGCGGCAGAGAGTGAGACGATGGATAGGGGACGGGGTGAGTCTCGGGAATTAGGGATTGTGCCGGTGGTTGAGAGGAGATGATGTATTTCATTTAGCTACCCCAAACCGAAACAACTAGAGATGGAGAATAAGTTCGGGTTTGGTTTATGTGTCGGGTTGGGTTGGGCATATGACATGGAGGGTTTAGTGACGTGGCGGGTCGGGTTTGACCATTTTCGGCCCAAAATGGTGCTGACTAGAGGCTCCCGTTAGCCACGTCAACACATAACAGACTCTATTAACGGAATTGGATGGAGACTAACGGAGAATGACTAAATATGACCTGTTTTAGTAATTCGAGTGACCAAATATGATATTAATTTTTTCTAGTGACTAAACATGACACGATTTAGTCATCCCAGTGACCAAATGTGGCATTAACCCATTGTATTGTAAGTTTAAATCACTTGTTTTCGTAAATTTACTGTTTTGTGGACACTTTATACCTTTGCGCAATTGTGCTAAAATCTCTCATCAAAACCCATTGATAAAAAATTTACTAATTGATTCTCAATTTAATAGTTCTATAATGTTAAGTGGTACTTTGGAGTGTTTGTAAAAGGGTTAATAGCATTTCGTACCCATTTACTATTGTAAATTAACAAACATATCACTTTATTAATTTTTTGCATAAACATACCCTTCTAGTATTAAAACGTAACAAATATAAACTTCTGTTAAATTTTCTGTTAAATCACTATTTAATGAGCTGTAAAATGACCTAATTGCCCCTCATTAACTCCTAGTTTTTATTTAATTATTTTTTTTATCCCTAACCTAATTATTAAAAAATTAAAACCTACCGACTCCTTATTTCTCTTGGACGGCCGGACGTTCCGCCTTCCTCTGGACAGGAGGACACAACCACACAGTTGGTGAAGCGACTTTCTTCTCCCACGAACAGCTAGCAATTGTTGACACGATCCTCTTCTCCCTTCGTCTGTGCGTCAGGCCGCTGGCGCTAGAGACTCCGGCCACCTCTCTACTCGTCTGCTACCCATCCACTTCTGGTTGTTGATCGGTTTAACTTATTTTAAGTGTTAAGGCTCCCTTTAGATATGCAGGTACAAAGAAGAACGATGGAATTTGAAGCTGCTCGTTGGATCTGGCGGCATAGGCGGAGGCAGGGGCATTAACCATTGTCACGGGCAAATTTCGGAGTGGTCAAAAATACGCATATATATTTATATATATTGATGATGGAACAAACAATTAAACGTGGTATTAGAGTATTTTATCAGTACAATACAACTCATTAGTTGTTCATAAATTGACATAGTCAAATCTTTTTTCTCCTTATGTCTACTCGTTTTTCCTCAACAATTTTGAAATTTTTTAGCGACAGCAACAATTCCATTAGTTTTGATTCTACCAATTTGCAATTGCAAGTGCAGGAAGAACATTTTTAGATTTGAGTTAAATTAAGAACAAGTTTCGAAGTCGAATTAGAGACCAGTTTGCTAATGATTGTTTAGTGTGATACTTTAAAAGAAACTTACTTAATAGTGTAGACAACAAATGTTTTTGTGTTTCTTTTATAATATGAAATTCCGCCGTGGTTGCTTATGAAAATAATAATTTTATTAGTCGTTATTTTTTATATGTGAATGAATTATTTGGATATAATTAGTTTTAATTTTATTTATTAATTAAATAATTATATGTTTATATTATGAAAAGAGGACAAGAGTAGTTTCAAATCCTGACTCCGTCACTAGTCTTGTGGTGTATATATTGATGTGTTTTTATTTGGTTGGCAGGTGATGCAAATCTAATCCCTTTTATATAATTGGTGGTACTCAATCCCAATTACTAGTTAATCAAAAGAGTTGTATTGCTTCAGGTCTTGAATCAAATTGAATACTTTGGCCGAGAGCATGGTCGGATTTTGGTACAGGAGAGTCGGGGGGGGGGGGGGGGGGGGGGGGGGGGGGGGGGTCAGAAGGGTTGGGAATGCTTTAAGCGCCGGTAGCTTTTTTTTATTCAAACTTGTGGCGTAGCTTTTAATTTTTAGGGCCATAAAATATATTAAATTAAAATTAGGAGTTTTTATGAGTTAATGAGGCGTATTTTGGTCATTTTACAGTCTCTTAAACGTTCATTTAACAGAAAATTATATGTAAGTGTATATTCGTTACGTTTTAATACAAGAATGGTATGTTTGTACAAAAAATTAATAGAGGAATACGTTTGTTAATTTGAAATAATAGAGGGGTACGAAATGCTATTAACCCGTTTGTAAAACCATATAGTAACGGTGCGTTTTTTGATGATTGGTAATAAAAGCTATCTATTGTTAAAAAAAAGATTAGAAAAATCACTTACTGAAGTTCAAATTAGTAGACAGTTTTAGCGGTATGAAATAATCGAATAACATTTAAATTGAATTATGATTTCTACAAAAAAAATACTATATTATTAATTTTTACTGAACAATCTAAGATATATAATTTTACAAATATTTTTTACATACCGTTTGGTATAAATGAATTCCATAAGTATTGAGGAATTCATTTTGAAATGAAACATTTTTCTGTTTGGTAATTAAAAGAATTCATTTTCAATTCTAAATTTTGAATACTATGGAATTGGTACTAATTATAGCAATTCTGGGGAATTGAGATGGAATTTCCAAATGAATTCCACAACTATTTACTAATTATAATAAAATGACATAATTATCCTCTTTATTAACTAAATTACTTATATATATGACATACCAAACACAGGAATTCATTTGACAATGAATTCTCCACGACAATTCATTTTACAATGAAATGAATTCCACGACTGAAGCTCTTATTGAGCGGGATGTTCAGGTTCATCCTCGATGCCCGGTTTGTTGGTCTGGCTCTGAGACAATGGAGCATTTGTTCCTAGAGTGCCCGGTAGCTAGGGCTTTGTGGGACTATGCGGGGCTTGAATATCTCGGTCAAGGGCTTCCTCGACACACCTTTCCATTGTTCCTTAAAAAACTGATGGCCCTTATCCACCAATCACAACTGGTTATGGCTGTGGTGGCGCTCCTTTGGAGAATCTGGCGCTCTCGCAACTGGGTTGTCTTTGAAGGCAAGCAGTTTGGGTTGCCGGACCTCATGCGACAATTTCATCAGCAATACCAGGAGTGGATAAGTTTGCCAGTTGATAGAAGCCCTCGAACCATTCCCCCTGCTCTTCATTCTGGAGGGAGCGTCAACCCTTGCCCGTTTGTCTGTCAATGGGACATAATTATCCTCGTTACGTTTTAATACTAGAATGGTATGTTTGTACAAAAAATTAATAGAGGAATACGTTTGTTAATTTGCAATAATAGAGGGGTACGAAATGCTATTAACCCGTTGTAAAACTATATAGTAACGGTGCGTTTTTTGATGATGGTAATAAAAGCTATCTATTGTTAAAAAAAAAAATTAGAAAAATCACTTACTGAAGTTCAAATTAGTAGACAGTTTTAGCGGTATGAAATAATTGAATCACATTTAAATTGAATTATGATTTCTAAAAAAATAAAAATACAATATTATTAATTTTTACGGAACAATATAAGATATATAATTTTACAAATATTTTTTACATACCGTTTGGTATAAATGAATTCCATAAGTTTTGAGGAATTCATTTTGAAATGAAACATTTTTGTGTTTGGTATTTAAAAGAATTCATTTTCAATTCTAAATTTTGAATACTATGGAATTGGTACTAATTATAGCAATTCTGGGGAATTGAGATGGAATTTCCAAATGAATTCCACAACTATTTACTAATTATAATAAAATGACATAATTATCCTCTTTATTAACTAAATTACTTATATATATGACATAACAAACACAGGAATTCATTTGAATGTGAATTCTCCACGACAATTCATTTTACAATGAAATGAATTCCACGACTAAAGCTCTTATTGAGCGGGATGTTCAGGTTCATCCTCGATGCCCGATTTGTTGGTCTGGCTCTGAGACAATGGAGTATTTGTTCCTAGAGTGCCCGGTTGCTAGGGCTTTGTGGGACTATGCGGGGCTTGAATATCTCGGTCAAGGGCTTCCTCGACACACCTTTCCATTGTTCCTTAAAAATATGATGGCCCTTATCCACCAATCACAACTGTGATGGCGGTCTCGCAACTGGGTTGTCTTTGAAGGCAAGCAGTTTGGGTTGCTGGCCCTCATGCAACAATTTCATCAGCAATACCAGGAGTGGATAAGTTTGCCAGTTGATAGAAGCCCTCGAACCATTCCCCCTGCTCTTCATTCTGGAGGGAGCGTCAACCCTTGCCCATTTTTCTGTCAATGGGACGGGGCTGTTACTCGTGGGTCCCACTCAGCGGGTGGGATGGTTGTTATGACCCAGGAAGGGACGGCTATTCTAGCTAGGGGTGTCCAGTTTGTTGGGATTGTGGAGCAATTGATTACTGAGGCCCTCTCGTTTCGGGAGGCAATACTTTGGTGTGTGGCGTCAGGATTTACGGAGATGCGATTTGAAGGGGATGTCAAGGTGCTTATTGACAAACTCAAGCAGGTTGATAAGAGTGACAGTCGAATTGGAGCCCTTCTGGATGAAGTTCTGCATTGCTTATCCGACCATAGTGGGTTTAGTGTTTGGTTTGTAGGACGGCGTAGTAACAGGGTAGCCCATTTGGTGGCTAGAAAGGCCCTTAATTTGTACGCGACTGCGAGTCGTTTCTTTGATTTCATGGCCTGGTTAAATTCCAGGGTGTAACTTTTTATTTGATCAATTTATGATTATCTTTTGTCCAATGGTTCTAGATAGAAGTTAAAAACTTCAATTCATCCAGCATATATATTTTCCAAGCGTTTGAATGGTGTCCTTTGTTCAAGCACCGAAGCATCTAAGACCTAACATAACTTAATACCTAACATAACTTAATAACTAAACATTGTCATCATTAATCCAACTTGCGCTCCAAATAATTCTAACTCGCGTTCTAGCCAAATTAAGTTCGCGAATTATTGCCGACTTGATGGCGGTTCGCGTTTTCACGCGCCAAAGCGGGAGCGGCAGGCCCATATGCACGAATTAGTTAATGTAACTCCCCATCGGCACTTGTAAAACAATGAACTCCATAAGGAAAGGATCCTCAGGCAGCACCATCATCCATTGTCGACATGATTTAGTACGTATTGTCCCAGCCTCATCAAAGAAGGTTCTAACATTAAAAAGAAAAAAAGTTATGAAAAGTAACATAATGAAAATTCATTTCCAACGGTCAGATTCGTGTACGACAGCGTTTCATCGCAGGAGAAGGAGCTTAGTTGGAACGCCACCGTTTGGGTTGCTTTAGGAGAAGACTCCACCTTAGAACGCCACCATTTCGTGTTTCCCCTTTCAGTTGTAGTTTTCTTTTTGCCCAAGTTTGTCTTAAGTCCGTACCAAGCTTCCAAAAAAACATCAGAAGAAAAATGCTTTCAGAAACATGGTTACCCTGCTAACTTTGTCCCTCAGAATTCATCAATTGCACCTCCTAGACCAAGACCAGCAGCTGCTCTCCTTAGTACTCCATCTAGCAGTGATGAAGTAAAGCTCACTAGGTCTGACTATGACAAACTTATGAGCTTAATGTCTTCATCTAAGACACAACCTTCTTTCTCTGTTGCTGCATATGTGACTCAACAAGGTACTTATTTTTCCTCAAATACACCTGTTCCTATACTCAATGCCTTTTCTGCCAATCATCATCCAAAATGGATCGTTGACACAGGAGCCTCTGATCACATCGTGTGCTCCTTAGATTACCTTCACAATCCTCAAACTTTGAACAATATTTTTATTACCCTTTCCACTGTTGAGCAAATCCAAGCTACACATTCTGGAACTGCAATCTGCAGTGATGACTTGCTCTTACATGATACCTTGTTTGTCCCCAACTTCACCTTCAATCTTATTTCTGTGAGCAGATTGACATCCAAGAACTCATTGTGCTTAACTTTTCACTCCACCACTTGTCTTATACAGGACCTGAAGCAGACGAGAGTGATTGGTTCTGCTAAACTCTGCAATGGCCTTTATTACCTTGAAGCTTCCCTTTTTTCTAGTTGATCTCAGCTGCATCCACATCCACTTTTGAACTATGTCATTTTCGTTTAGGGCATGTCTCTCATTCAAAAATTCCCATACTCAACCAGTTTTGTACCTCCATTACTACTCTGAAAGATCAACCATGTGATATCTGTCATTTTGCTAAGCAAAAACGTCTTCCTTTCCCCACCAGTCAGTCTGTAACTTCTTCCCCTTTTGAACTTCTTTATGTAGACATCTGGGGTCCAAACACTGTCCTAACTTATGATGGCTTCAAATATTTCTTAACTGTGGTTGATGATTACTCTCGCATGACCTGGATCATTCTTTTGCAACTACAATCAGCGGCAAGGCCTAAGCTTATTGCATTCTGCAACCAAATGGAAAGACAATTTCAAACAAAAATCAAAGTCATAAGGAGTGACCAGGGTAAGGAATTTCAGATGGAGGAATTCTTTCACAAAACAGGCATTGTCCATGAAATGTCCTGTGTAGAAACACCCCAGCAAAATAGCATAGTAGAAAGGAAGCATCAACACATACTTGCTGTTGCTCGAGCCCTTCAATTCCAAGCATCAATTCCTCCTGCATTTGGGGGAGACTGTGTTAGACACTCAGTCTACCTAATCAATCGTGTTCCTACTCCCATTCTCTCCGATCAAACTCCTTTTCAAATCCTACATAAAAAAACAGCCAGACTTAACTGAACTAAGAGTTTTTGGTTGCCTGTGTTATGCTAGCACTCTAGCAAACCACAGAGCCAAATTTCAATCAAGAGCAAAAAAAGCAATCTTCATTGGTTATGCTCCTGGGATAAAAGGTTACAAACTCTATGATACAGCCTCCCATGAGGTTTTCATTTCTAGAGATGTAATCTTTTATGAGTCATATTTTCCATACATAGATTCATCTCCTGACCCAGATTCTACTACTCATCCAGACTTTCTTTTCCCAGTTCCTAATTCAGACAACAGCCTCATACATGATGCTTCTTCTTCTCCAGCCTTACCACCTCACCCTCAAGAACCTGCAGCAGACACTGCTGCTGCACCACTTGAACTAGATGTCAACACTTCACCACCACCTACAACAATTCATTCACCTCTCATTTCTCTAGATTTACCACCACCACCTCCTCCACCACCTGTTCAACCTGTAAGACGTTCAGACAGACAGTCCAAACCACCCCAACATCTGGTCCAAAATTACCATTGCTTCTTATCTTAGGGTCCAAGAAGAACCAGTCACTCAACTCTGCAACATAACCAAGATTCCAGGTATTCATTTCCTTCTTTCCTGTCATATGACAAACTCTCACCTACTCATAAAAAATTTCTTCTCAACATCCCAAGTCATCATGAACCACAATCATACCAAGAGGCTTCCAAACATGAAGTCTGGAACAGTGCAATGCAGCTTGAAATTCAGGCTCTTCTCAAAAATCATACCTGGGATGTGGTCAGCTTACCTCAAGGGAAGAAACCAATCAGCAATAAATGGATATACAAAGATAAGTTCCTCTCTGATGGTTCTTTGGAAATACACAAAGCAAGGCTTGTTGCCAAAGGCAACACTCAGCAAGAAGGCATAGATTACCTAGATACCTTTGCCCCTGTCATTAAAATGACCACTGTTAGAACTTTCCTTGCCATTGCAGTAATGAGAAATTGGCATGTTCACCAACTAGATGTGAACAATGCTTTTCTCCATGGAGATTTGCAAGAAGAAGTTTATATGACCCTGCCAAAGGGTTATACTCCTCCTCCTCCTGGTATTCCCAACCCAGTATGCAAACACAAGAAGTCTTTATAAGGTTCGAAACAAACATCTAGACAGTGGTTCTCCAAATTAACAGACAAATTGGTCCAAGTTGGTTACAAAGTCAAGCAGATCATTTCTTTTTTCAGGGTCACATAAACTAGCTACACATGTATCCTGATCTATGTGGATGATCTAGTTTTGGGGAGCAATGACATTGAAGAGATTCAATCATTAAAGCACTTTCTGCACAGGGAATTCAGCATTAAAGACATGGGAGATTTGAAGTTCTTCCTAGGAATTGAAGTGGCTAGAAGCAAATCTGGCATTCATATCAGTCAAAGAAAATACACTCTTGAAATGCTAGAGGAAGCACATGTTCTAGATACAAAGCCTGTGACTACACCTATGGACTACAAGCTCCATCTCAACAATGCCCCTGATACAGCATTTGATGACCCAGAACTCTACAGAACCCTTGTAGGAAAACTGATCTATCTCACCACTTCACGTCCTGACATCAGTTTTGCTACCTAGCAACTGAGTCAATTCATGTCTTCACCAACAATTACACACTACAAGGCTGTTCTGTGTGTTCTGCGTTATCTGAAGTCTGCACCATCAACAGGACTCTTCTTCCCATCCAAAGGTACATTTCAACTGAAAGCTTTTGCTGACTAAGATTGGGCAGCTTGTGTTAACACAAGATGATCCACTACTGGCTTTTGTATCTATCTTGGTGACTCTTTACTCTCCTGGAAAAGCAAAAAGCAGAGAACAGTCTCAAGATCATCATGTGAAGGTGAATATCGGGCCCTCGCCCAAACAGCTTGTGAAATACAATGGTTACAATACCTTTTGGCAGATTTCCAAGCATCTTCATCAGCTCCAGCCACTCTATATTGCGACAATCAGAGCGCAATTCACATAGCCAAGAACCCTACCTTCCACGAAAGAACGAAACACATCGAGCTGGACTACCATTTTGTTCGGGAAAAGATACAATCAGGCACTCTCAAGCTTCTTCATATCTCCTCGGCTCACCAACTGGCAGATTTGTTCACAGAACCCCTATCTCCAACACCATTTCTCTCACTTCTCTCCAACGGTCAGATTCGTGTACGCCAGCGTTTCATCTCAGGAGAAGTAGCTTAGTTAGAACGCCACCATTTCGTGTTTCCCCTTTCAGTTGTAGTTTCCTTTTTGCCCAAGCTTGTCTTGTTTCCGTTCCAAGCTTCCAAACAAACAGTATTGTTGATTTTCTTCTTCCTGTAATGCTCTGCCTATAAAGGCCAGAGGTTGTAATGAAATCCATAGATTTTAGGGTTCAATCTTCTCTCCAACTTCGTTGTTAAAAAGGAACCCAATTAAACATGGCAGTCGACAAATTATCGAAATCCACTGATGAAAGAAGTTTTCATGCTACTAAAATGGCTAGCCCTATTAAAATGATAAAAGATCACATGAACGAGTACTAATAAACTAAAGTAAGAAAATAGCCAAGGATGAACACCTTCCATAGGGGCCAAACATTAGTCGCCTTCTGTACAAACACTCGTCGAAAAGCAATGAACTCCATAAGAAAAGGATCTTCAACACCATTCATCATACATCATCGACATGGTTAGTACGTACTGATTTCCAATAAGTGACCCATAGCAAAATCTTACCTGTTGCAAATAAACAGACAAAGGTGCCTGGCCATCAATGTGAATTATGAAATATCACTAGTAGGGCCTTACTCCATAACCATTTATGCATGCCAAACAAATCACATTGCATGAAACGAATGATTTCAAACTTCTAAAAACAAATAAACACATTCTAAAGGGATATGGCATCATCATAACAAAAATGAAGGCTTTTATAGGCCCCGATTAGACGTATTCAATTATTTCTACATCAGATATACTAGAAAGTTTTGCCTATACAATCAAGTCGACGTACTTGTTCAAGAGTTCATAAACTACAATTCATATTGAATATCTATTTGTTCTTGGATTTCTATGGTATCAATAAAAAGTATCAGAGCCTGATTTTAGAATTGATATGGGATCATGGACTTCAGTTGTTTGAATTGGACTATTATTTTGTGACCCCATGATTGATTTGAGATCAATATATGAAAGATAAATGGAGATCTACATCTTGTAATTTCTTGGGTTTGAAAATTCTATTTATACAAGGTAGTCAACGAATCAAGACAATCGCTGGAGGAGAGGCCACAAGGAGAAGTTTGTATCTCTCTAAGACTCCTAACTCATGAGGAATCCTACCTAACCACCTAGGAGCTTGAGTTCCAACCTAACTTCCCGATACAATCCATGTTCAATGTCTACTTGTTGTTAGATATCTCTAAGATATACCTTGCTCCCAATCCTTTCTTGGAAAACAAATTATTTCTCAAGAAAGACTCATGTTCTAGCAACAAACACATTTTTTGTTCCGGTGTGTTGTAGAAGTAACATTCCTTAATTAGTTTCTATATTGTATCCTACGAATTTACAGCTTATTGGATTTTGACTCTAGTTTGGTCGTGGTAAGCCTTTCCACATAGACTTCTCATCCCCAATTCCTAGCAGAAGACTTAGGACACTTCACAGTTCACGCTCCACAACCAGTGGCGGACCTAGTAAGGGGCAGGGTGTGTCGTCCGACACACCCTCGCTCGGAAATTTTGTGAAGTACCTGTATATTTTTGGTACATTTTTTTTAATTCGGAACTTCCGACACATCTTAAATAATTATAATCGACACACCTTCATTATACGAGAATGATTTTCTTGTTATAAAGTTATTTATCTTAATTAGTAATACACAATAATAAGTAAATTCAAATAAGTTTCGAAGTTATTTATGCTTATTTTAGAGTAACCCACACCACAACCTAGGGATGGCAATATGGCGGGTTTGTCTAAACCAACCTCATCCCCATTTCCAAATATTCAAACTCATACTCGTCTCATACCCATGTAGTGGAAGGTCTTACAAACGCATCCCTATACCCGCGATTTTCGAATACCCATGGGTAATATCGCCCCAACAACTACTCACCATTAATAAAAGAATATGGTGACAAATATGGATACTACCCACCCAAAATTATGGAACTAATACATAAGAGGATGAAATTACGGTTTGGTTGTCATCAATTACATTTTAACACTTTATTTTTTCTTTTAATTACCCTTCATTCGATTGACAAGTTACAATACACTCCTTATATTTTATGTATATAACATAATATCCTTGGTGGGCGGGTTTGGGTATGGGTATGGAGCGTGAGAGTCAAAAACCATACCCTCCCCATACTCATCAACCTTTTTGAGGGTTTTATCCATACCCACCTCATACCCAGTCAACGCAAGGATTCCCGCGTTGATTGGGCCGGAGGAGGTCGGGTACCCGCGACCATGGGTTTGGTTGTCATCCCTACCACAACCCAACAATGGAAAAAATAAACATAACCCCATCCTTTGAAACTCACCGTTTCCACTCCTTGACCCATCCTTTATTGAAAATAAAAAAACTCACCCTTACCCCGTTTTAGTTTCTAATTACTGAGAGCCACTACCACTTCTCCCTTTTCTTTTACTGTTTAGTTTTACTTGCTTTTGGAAGTTGGTGTTGACTTTACATGTTGCAATTGAAAGTTGCGAAAGTTTTCAGGTGTGAAGATAATAAGGAATGAACTTTGAAATCAGTTGAGTGACCAATTTATGAATCATTGTTTAGTTGTGTATATCGAAAAGGATTTGCTTCGCAACATAAGCAATGAATGTATTTATAGATATTTCTAGTAAACATGAACTTTATGAATTAATTTGTAGTAATTTCTATTAATTTTTAATAATTTTTTAAATTAGTTTTTTAATTACTATATTATTTTATCGGCGACACACCTCTCCGACAATTCTGGGTCCGCCACTGTCCACAACAAATATAATTTTTTTTAAGTAGTGGATGGAAGTTGGTTAATTACTTAGGTGGCACTTAGCAAAACATATCTCAAAATGAAAGTAATTGACTAGTTTGACACATGCTCTATGAAACCGTACCGTATCGGCGGTTCAACCACGAAATACTAATATCTAAGGTTAAATTGGTAGGCGATATTTAACGGTCTAACGATTGAACTATAATTAAACTACGATTTTATCATAAAATATCGTATTATTGACTTTTCCGATACGATATCCGATACGGTTTCATGGACCATGGGTTTGACAAGTAATCGATCAAGTCATAACTAATAGATTTGGATTTTTCCTTTTGCACACACCATTCCGTCGTGATATGCTGACCTACTGAGTTGGGAATCGAGGTACAATCCCACTCTCTTAAATGGTCTAGAAATTCTTGATTTAAAATCCTCCACCTTCAGCCGGTAGGATTGCCTTAATTCTTGGCCTAGGAATTCTTCGTTTAAGCTCTAATTGCCGTTTGCAACTAACACAACTTATTGATCAGAAATAGGGCTGCAAATGAGCCGAGTCGAGCTGAGTTTTATCGCAGTTTGATTTCGGCTCGTTTATTAACGAGTCGAGTTAAGTTCGAGCTAGCTTGATTAATAAAATCTTGAATCATATTTAATATATTCATTTTGAATGTCATACATGATACATGTGATTAATGTCAAGATAAAAAAATAATAGTTAAGTTTTCAGTATTAACTAATCACATGTTATACTTTGTGGTATCAAATTATTTAGTTAATAAATTTTAACTACTGGAAATTATGTTATTTCATAGTATCGCAGCAATCATTGATACATAATTTTTTTTAAAATTAAATAAGACATATTTGTTCACATAATCTACGCGTTAAACTTCATATAGGGTGAGATATGCAATTTAATATCTTATAAATTATCAAAATCAAACTCATATAGATCGATTCGCTCATAACTCGGTAGTCGATTTGGCTCTCTAGCCACAATGTTGAGAGTTAAGACATCTCATGAGCTCTAAACGAGGCAGCTCATTGAGTTGAGCTCAACAAGACACCGAGTCGATCTAGCTCGAGAGCTCAGCGAGGTGCAGAAGGTCAAGTTCAAGCTCGGCTCATTAATAAACGAGTCGAGTTTCGAACGAGTTTTTTCCAAATCGAACGCCGAGCCGCTAGCGAGCAGCTCGGCTCATTTGCAACCCTAATCAGAAAACCAAATTTGGCGAATCTCACAGCTGGATTATGTCTAGAGCTCAATAGCGTAGCAAATGAATGGGCCTTTTCGAGCCTTTGTTATGGGCCAACGGACTCTGACTAGTATTTTCATTTGTCAGTGCCGGTGGCATGCCACCCGGTTGAATCTGGTTCAACCTGTGCCGGTCATGAAACCGGCATGACACCACCGGTATGACCGGTATACGCATTCTAAGTAAAATGACATCATTTTAATGAATTTAATGAATAAAAATAATAATTTATTATTTCTTTTATGAATGTAATAGTTAAAAGTTGATGATATTTGTTGGATTGTAATTAAATTGTCCACAAATATGTTTTATATATGATTAAATACATTGGATATTAATTGTTTTCACATTTTTTTAGACCGGCATGAACCGGCACAAACTGGTTATACCACCGGTCGTACCATTCCACTTGCCAAACCGGCACAGCGGTATAAACCGGTTTGACAACCTTGCTCGTCACTTACTTACAGCGGATTCTCCGAAACCCCCCACCCACCGCTAAACCCATCAAACCGCCAACAGAACCGACTTTCAAAGTCCGTTTCTTTTAAAACCAAAACCAGTCATCAAAACCATCCAACTCGCCAACAGAAGTAGTCAATCCAACTTGTCTGCCCCTTGGAATTTCCTTTTTAACACACTCAAACACCTCTTCTTGCTAGCGCATCACTGCCCAAAAAGAAAAGAATCCGACTTTATCCAGTTTCGTTCACCAACATCCCAAAATAACAATGTCGACAACGGAAACAACAGCCTCGTCACCACCGCCAGAGCACAAGAAGATATTCCTGGCTGCAGTGGACGAGAGCGAAGAGAGCATCCACGCCCTGTCATGGTTCGCCAACAAAATCCTGCCGGCTTCTTCCTCCAGCCACCAGCACCGCTCTACTCTCGTCCTTCTCTACGTCAAGCCTCCGCCGCCGCTCTATTTCTCCCCTGACGGTAAGCCACGAAAGTTCCAATCTTTTCCCCCCTTTTTCCCCACCTTCTCCTCTTTCCTCTGTTTTTCTGACCCTATACTCTGTTTTTCGGCGGGGGGATGCAGGGCATGTGTTTTCGGCGGATGTGATGGCGGCAATGGACAAGTACAGAAACGACGTCGCGGAGTGCGTCATGGTAAAGGCCAAAAGGGTCTGCAAAGAAGCAGCTGGTGACAATGATAATGGTGATTACCAAGTTAAGGTGGAGACGATGATAGAGAATGGGGACGCGAGGGATGTGATTTGTCAGGTTGCTGAAAAGCTAGGTGTTGATGTTCTTGTGATGGGCAGCCATGGCTACGGCCCCATCAAGAGGTAATAATCTAAGCTTCATCTAAGGAGTTAATCGCTTATAGATATAGTGGTTAGTATGGTAATCGTTGATTATCTGCTAATCCTTAATTTTTCCTAATGGCAACAACAGGGCGTTTCTTGGGAGTGTGAGCAACCATTGTGCTCAGAATGTCAAGTGTCCAATCTTGATTATCAAGAGGCCGAAATCCAACAAGGCAACAACTAGTGATTCGTAGTTCATTCCATGTTGTACTTTGTGTGTGTGTGTCTTGAAATTAAAGGATCATCATCCAACCTTGTGATTTGTGTTTCCTCCATTAGATTTAGGAGCTTTGTGTTTTTATCCTCTAGATTATTTACTTTTGTGGATACTAAATAAGAAATAATAAGCATTCTCGCCACAAGTTATCTGAATTCTATTGGGACAAATGAAAACTTTTTTGTGATTTACAAATGATTAGTAATTGGTGTTTTATTCTCACTGCAAATAATAAGCTCTCTCGCCACAAGTTATTTCAACAGTAAATTGCTATGATTTTCATTTAGGCATGATTTAGGAAGTTGTGAATACATTGTTAGGAAGAATGAAATTATAAAATAATGTATGTACTGTGTTGGTCTTACTTGTAATCAATAAAAGTGGTGGATCATACCATATCAATTAAAAATTTAGAAAGTTGTGATGCTTGATTTTATATTTGGGTTCTCTTATTTTTAATATAATATCAAAATGCATATAGTGACTCATTACTGTTTATTAATTTTATATCAGATCGATTAATTATAAGGGATCTAATTGCTTTATAAGGTCAGTTTTATATTAAACACAAAATGAGCTAGTTGGGCCTTATTGATTTGGATTTTTTGGCTTAAGTCGCCGACCTCCCTCTTTATGGATTCAATGGCTGGTAGTCTCATCTTGCTTGCATAAATGGTCACTAGTAACAGGCTGGATACCAAGACGAATCACAAGTCGATTGGTGAAATTTGGCTTACAAAACTAAGTATGGAATCCTGTTGGTTAGATACCAATCCGACAATACAAGTTTATGCAAGACTGTCAAGGTATCAAGCAGACAGAGCGGCCAGATACTAACTTGATTAGTCTCCAAAAACTTAGCATGGAGATTAAGCTGACAAGATGAACTTGGTGGCAAGATTTGTAGAGTATCAAGTCGACAAGACAATGAGGTACCAACTTGACAAGCTATATAGAATGGAATTTCACATGTGGCAAATTCTTTACTCTTCCTAGTCTTATTAAGACCATAGAATGTTCCTACAGGATATTCAGAATATCTTTGATGCCTATTCTATGTTCTTTTCAAAAACCCTACAATGCATAATAACACAATCTATGGAGAACACTTGAGACTTGACAGGGCACTAAGCAAGCAAGACGACTAGGTACCAACTAAGTAGTCGTCGATAGATTTTGAAAGTCTCACAAAACCTGCATAGGAGTGAGATAACTTAACATAGCTTGTTCCCAGCAAATAATTAAAAAATATCAAACACACTCATTCAAATATTCTTTAGATAAATATAGATCGTGTTATTATCATTGTTCAAAAAATCAATGTTCATATTATTGAATTCAAATTCGTTGTACTGTGCACAACGTACCTGAAAAATCTAGTAGAAGGGAAAACAATAGATATCATTATTACCCGGAAATATTGAATTTTGATTTAAATGGCGGCAACCGTGTAGTCTAAAACAAATCTACTATAAAATTTGCTTATTACAAGAGATGAATTATAATTATATCGTTAACAAGTAAAAAAAAATTGTCACTTGATAAAACTACTGTGCCTATGACTGTGAAATACTAAACCACTACAAATAACCTACATAATTAACAGATTTTGGGTAGATAAGTAATAACACTAATAATTAGCAAGATAAACACAAAATGAGCTTCATCTCCTGCTTTTTTTTCTCCCTTTCCCCAGGTTTTTTCGGTTCACTCAGCGGCCTACAAAGTCTCTTTCTTTCATCAGTCTTTCAAACCAATTCGATTCACGTTCACCGAGCAGCAAAAATCCCCATCGCAGAGCTCAGAATTTCCCCTTTCTTGATTTTTCCTCTCTAGAAGGAAGCCATGAAGCCCCTCCGCTTGCTGAAACAACTCATCCCCCCTCTCATGTTCCTCATCGTTCTCGTTAAGTCACTCTCTGTTTTCCTTCCCCTGTTTTCCCCTGCTTTTACTTCCTGACTCTGTTCTTTTAATTATTTCTGATGCAGGCTGTGTCGACGGTTGTTTTCGCGAAGCTACGCATTCTGATCAACGAGACCGAGCTCCGCGTAGACTCCGAGATCGACGTCTACAGCGATACATTCTACGCCGCAATTGAGAAATCCGGCAAAGCTCTGCTCCCAGGGAACGCGACCACCGCCACATTAGCGACGTCGCTCGCCTCGAATTTCAATGGCTCACTCCCCACATTCTCCGCTATCATGACTAAGGTGATTTGGGTCAATTCAATAATCTCTCAAAACGGGTTAAAAATTAGTTGATTTAAGTGGTGAATCAAAATCGTGATTCTACTTAAACATTAGCGTAAAGCGCGATTTTGACTACATTAGTCACATGAATGCTCAATCTCGTTTGAATTTTACAGGTGGCGCCGACGTTATTCATGGCCGTTTCCGCCATACCAAAACTATCCCAAGCTTCCTTCGCGAGCCGCGACGGCCTCTTCCTCTCCGTCTACAGAGAAGACAAAGACCGAATCTTTCTGGTCTACTCGAACGCCTCCTTCTCGCCCACCTGGTTCACCCAACCGGTCAACCACGACACGGGCGAACCGTACGGGGTCGCGGTGGTCTCCAAAGCAATGCTGACCCCGAACACTGAGTGGTTTCGCGCCGGGCTCGACGGCGACGGTGTCGTTTCGTCGATGGGCCGGAGCTGGAAGGACGACCACGAGGGTATGCTGCTCAGCACCGTGTCGGTCCACGGGAAAGGCGTCATTTCGCTCGGGTTCGCGACGGAGACCATCGTCGACCACTTCACGTCGCTGAATTCCCGCGGTCTGTATCTACAATTGGCGACCCAGGAAGGGGAGGTGGTCGTCCGTCCGGCGGCGGATGCGGCGGTGGTGATCGAGAGGTTTAGCAACGGGGTGTTGACTGTGAGGAATGGGGTGAATGGGGAAATTGGGAACTTGAGCTGCGACACCGCCGGGACGGTTGCAAGGTCGCCGGCGGGGACGGTTGCGGGGATCGAAGGGTCGTTTTACTGCTCCACTCTGATCATTGGTGGCGTCAATATGGTAAATCGAAAAACTCGTTGCTGTTGTCTATTTGATTGCTTTCACTAATAGACTAAACTCTTTCGAAAAATTAAGGGTCAAATTGAATCGTATAGTTTGGTTCTGATAGTCACATTTTCATATGAAATTTTATTAGTGTTATGTTACTAACTTACTATCAAAAAATCTACATGTTGGAATTCATGTTTTATGGCAAAAATAATTATTTTTTAGTTTATTGGTTCGAATTTTTGCATTGTGGATTAAGTAAATTGTTCATTCTTTGTTCATCATAGAATGCTTGATTCAGACGGTAACGAACTCTAATCCTACATTCATAATCCGATTTGTGCTGAATATTGGTTGTTTGATCTTTAATTTGCACATCATTCTCACAGCCTGATGTACCAACACTAGTTTTCACCATTTATAAACTCGTACCCTCTTCTTAATTTTGTTTGTTTGCTTTTGGTTTCCTTGTTTGTACAGGTTTACGTGCTGGCATATCCTGGAAGTGGATTGATGAGCCTGGTGGTAAGAATCACCAAGGCTTCCATCATTCTAGTCGGCGTTCTATTCAGCATGGTGGTTCTGTCACTTGCTCTGTTCCTGTGGAATGCGACCAGAGCAACGAAGAGGGAGCTATACCTCTGCGCTTCATTGATCAAGCAAACAGAGGCCACACGGCAAGCCGAGCGCAAGAGCATGAACAAGACGAGGATTTTCGCAGGGATCAGCCACGATGTCCGCAACGCTCTGGCTCAGCTCGTGGCGTTGATCCAGTTCTGTCAGGAGGACGCCAACAATCCGGATGTTAATAAGGTTGCAGGGGATCTCCAGAAGGTCGAGAATTGCGCTCGCGACGCTGTTGGTGAGTTCTATATAATATATACCTTCTCAACCTCTGTAATTTGCGTCGTCATTTCTTCGCATTGTTTATTGGGATTTTTTCCCATTTCTATTTCCTTTAGGAATGCTGGAGTCGGTTCTGGACATCAACAAGCTCGAAGCGGGGAAGCTGGAATTGAGAAACGAGGACTTCAACTTAGGCAACCTCGTCGAAGAGCTCGTCGACAGGTTCTACCACTTGGGGATCAAGAAAGGGGTCGACGTCGTGTTCGACCCCTCGGATGCCTTCATCCACAAGTCACCTCACGTGCACGGCGACCAGACCAGGGTGAGGCAGATACTGTCCAACTTGTTGAGCAACGCCATCAAGTTCACCTCGGAGGGCCACGTGAAGGTCCGCGCCTCGGTGAAGAAGAGGAACCTGAGGAAGGACATCATCGCCTCCAACAGGACGTTCGCCTTCGGGTCGCTGCTGAGCTCCTGCTGCTGGGACAGGTGCGGCGTGAACGGGGAGAGCGAGCATGATACCCTGCAGATGGCGGAGGCAGAGGATCCGAAAGAGGTGGAGTTCGAGTTCGAGGTGGATGATACGGGGAAAGGGATCCCCAAGACTGAATGGAAGTCTGTGTTTGAGGACTACGTTCAGGCTACCAATAACAACTCTGCTTCTCATTCGGGTGGGTTCGGATTGGGGCTTGGCAATGTCCAATCTTTGGTAAGTAATGTGATCCTTTTCTCATGTTTTTTTCCTTCTCGTTTGGGTATCATACAACATTGATGAGAACGTGTAACAATGTCTTTTTGCAGGTGAGATTAATGAAAGGTGAATTGCAAATCGTAGAGAAGAAAGAAGGGGAGAAAGGGACTTGTTTCAGATTCAATGTCTTCCTCTGCACATCCACCCCTAGGATAGAAGGCCATCAACAACAACAGAGTCCTTCTATCACGATGCGTCCTTCTTCGTTTGCACTCGCTTCACCAAGGCGTGAAGATTCTCAAGTGATGATCTTGGTAGAAGGGGAGGAGAGGAGGAAAGTGTTGAAGAGGTACATGGAAAACATGAACATCAAGGTGGTCATCCTCACTCATCCGAGCAGCCTGTGCCAGGAGCTCGAGAAGATAAGGACGAAGCTCGAGATTTCTTCTCCTGCTGCAACAACCACCGTCGATCAACGTCTAAGTCGCTCCGTCTCCAACAGTTCGGATTCGGGAACAAGGAACAACCTTAGGACGATGACCAAGGGTACTTCGTGGTCCAGATTCGTCCTGCTCGTGATTGATGTCAACTACCATCACGACCTGCACAGCCGACTGCTCGAGTTGAAGAGAGAGGGCGGCAACAATGTCCTGTGGAAGATCGTTTGGGTTCACGACCGGTTCATGGTGCACGATGGAGGCGAGCAGAGTCGACTGCTGCAGGAAACGCTAACCTCCGGTGGGGATTACGTGGTGTACAAGCCATTTCACGGGTCTCGAGTCAACGAGGTTTTGTGTCTACTTCCGGGAAGGAATAAGTCGCCCATCATCCCTCATGGCAATGCTGCCATGTTGGCTCCTCCAACTACGGTACAGTACCAACGGATTTCCTCCAATAACTCGAATTGTTGTTGGACAATCGAGCTGGGAGACCCTGCCAACTGCACGATTTCAGAGACCGTTGGTCAGGAGGCCATTTTGGTCAACAGCAGTGACGTTGGTGATGATGAAGAGATGAAGAAGCAACCCTTGAAAGGGAAGAAGGTTTTGATTGTGGATGATGTTTCTTGTTTGAAGACACTACATGGTAGAATGATGAGGAAGTTGGGAGCAAGTAGCGTTGAAGACTGCACCAACGGGAAAGAGGCTATTGACAAAGTTTCAAGTGCATTGAGAGAGCAAAGCAGGGAAGAAAATGGTGTTGAGAATTGGGTGCCGTACTACTGCATTTTGATGGATTGTGAGGTAAAGTAAAAACAAATGTTTCAGTTCGTGGACACTAAATAATAAGTGCTGCCTACCCTAACTAACTCTCTATCTCTCTTGTGTTAACTTTGAATGCGTAGATGCCTGAGATGAATGGGTACGAGGCAACGAGATGGATAAGGGCGGAGGAGGAGCGAAGTGGGCAAGCAGGGAGGATCCCGATAGTGGCGATATCAGGACATTCGTCGACAGAGGAAGTGAACAAGAGTCTGGAAGCTGGGATGGACTTCCATTTGACCAAGCCATTAAAACAGAATGAGCTGTTGGATGTTGTACGAAAGATTAATGTAATGTGGAGTCATACTCATACTAGGCGGGATTGAATTGATTGATAAATAAATAGTTGCTTTTTCCTACACTAGCTCTACTTACTGTGCTTGTAACAAACACAAATAGCATATTTTTTTAGCCGCATCCATAAATAAATCTACACGATTGAAGATGGGGGATGGAATTTGGATTGTCATCGATGCTCAAGTACTTTAATTTGTCTTAAAACTTTGATTGTGGATAGGGGCAACTGGGCAAGCTTCATACCATATTTACTTGACGTTGAATTTTCACTTTTAGGATAAGTGATTTTGATTTCAACTTCCATATTGATTTCACCCTTAAACAAAGGATATGGGCTAATCACAATTCAAATAGAGAATTGATTGTTGTGTTCTTTTGGCAAGTTGTACACATATTTTAAATCCAATTTGTTCATTGTTTTGGTTCGCTTTCGTACTAAACTATATTGAAAACGGTTTTCTGTCGTGAGTTTACTTCTTGAACTCGACGTACAATTGATACCGTTTGAGGTTGCTTTGTTCGGCAAGTATCGAAGGTAATCCTTAAGAGACTAGGATTGAAGCACTACGTACGTAATGCAAGTAGGTTGGGAGTTGGGAGTTGCTCGTCTGCCTCGAGGAACGTAAACAAAGAAAATAACAGGCAGCAACAAGTCCTCTTAAGGTTTTCTTCTAAATGATAGCTCCGAGAGAGACAGTCAAGAATGTAACACTAAACGTTTCAAAGGAATCATTCCAACGCTGTCGCCAGTTCTATTTCTCGAAACGTTTCCTCCCTCTTCTAGTTAAGAATCCATCAGCTTCTACAACTATAACAACCAAATAACAAAAAACGCTGAACAATGTCTCTACTGGCATTGAGTTGCTCTGCTTTGCTTTCTTCTCCTCTTCATCTGTCCTTCCTAAAGCTCATCCTGCAAAGCCCAAAAAGAATCATAATTATCAGGCAGACTGGAAAGAAAGAAACTGCTGAAGCTATCTCGAGTTAGTACTACGGCCCGAGTTAAAAACGTACATGTAGTTCTTCTTCGTCTTTGAAGTCTTCAGCACCCTCGGCTTTAAGGTCAGAGTCGTCTTCTGTGTCGGCATCTTCAGTGTCATCATCATCCTCAGCCTGTGATTCACATCAGATAACAAAACACAGCATGTTAAACCACACAAAGGGGATGATACAGAAAAAGAGGGAGGGTGGGAGAGAGAGGGAGGGAATAGTGGATAGTATTGAAAAAGCTTACATCAGAATCGGCAGGGTCGTCCTTGGATGATTCCTCCTCTGCCTTCTTTTCGGCTTCTTCAAATGCTGCCTTTTCAGCCTACCATCAAACAAAACCAGCAGAGACTCGTGTCAATCGATCAGGCAAGGAGTTCTATGTGAAAATCGCGGACTTTTAAAGATGGTGGGAGAAGACGGTATGCTATACTTACATCTTTGTTCTTGGCCCATGTTTCTTCAGCGAACTTCTTGGCATACTCGGGATCGTCGCAGATCAAGACATTGTCAAACAAGGTTCCAGATTTCACCTGCCACAACTCAATGCCCACATACTTCAAGTTGGGGAAAACATAGATCTCTGGATCATCCTTGAAATCTGCCAAAAAATACACAAATTGATTAATTATCACTGATAAGCTATCAGGCAACAATGAACAGCAAAGAACAGCTATAAGAACTAGGCTGAACCTGGGTTGTCAATCATTGGAGCCTTCCACTTGCCCTTGTAGTTGGGGTTCTTGATTTTCTGTACAAGTGTGGATACAACAAATCAGAACTACAGGCCAGAGTGTATTAAAGATCAAGCTACTTTGTATTTAATAGTAGATTCACAAACCTTTGCCTTCCATGGACCCTTGTACTCTGGGTTGGGAATAGTTGGGGCAGTCCACTCACCATCTTCCTCATCATCCCAATCTTCGGGCTACAGTTGGAAAGGCAAAACATAATAAGATAGAGCTACAATAGCATGACAAAAGAATCAAAAATAGAAAGGCTTGCTAGTTATTAAATTACCTTGGTGGCTTCGGTATCAGGAATCTCCTTAGGGATGTCATCATATCCCTATATGAACAGATCAACATCATCTCTAACAGGTTTCTACAAAATCTACATGAAAGAAAGATTAACAGTGGCGACACTTATAGTTTACCTCTGGCTTCTTGTCCTCAGGGTCAGGAATGTACTCCTTCTCATCCCAATCCTCAGGCTTCTTGGCTTCAGGATCCTTGATTTTCTTGGGAGGGAGAAGGCTCCAGTCAGAGTACAAGCTGCCAGTTTGCTTCTCCACATTGTCAATCAGAATGCTGTAAGTAGCATCAGGGCGAATGATGAATGTGTAAACATGGGAGAGCTGGTCAGTCTCACAGGGGACTTCCTTCTTGATCAAGTGGTTTGTTCCATTGTAAGTCAGAATAGCATGGACTTTCTTGGTACTGTAACCACAGATATCAGGTCCAAACATAATACTGCAAGCAAAGAGAAAACCCTCACATCAGAAATCAAGCGACAATTTAAGTCTAAACCAATAGCATAGTGAGATTGGGGATAAATGGGTAACCTGTATGGAGTGTCACCACCGAATTTGGTTTGGTCGATATCACCGCTCATCAGCTTCATGTACCCACCTCCACAGTCAAGCTTCTGTTCGTGCTTGACAGAGAATTGAAAGACTAGGGTTTTGTCCTTGTTGCTAAATTCAGGATACTCTGCTGAAATAGCATAGAACCTGTAGTCTTCGCTTGTCTGGATACCTGCATTGGAATTTTGCCGCAAATTATCAGCAAGCAAGCTACAGTATGAACCATATACCTTCCATTAGTTCAACCTCAATGTACACACACAATTAGGAAACCTAATTGATCAGAAAAGAATTTTCACCTTTGTCATCAGCGCCGCCATTCCACTTTCCGGCAGTGTAGTTCCACTCTCCAGCCATGTTCTCATCTTTCTTCCAGTCGGATTTAACCCATTTCTTTTCCCATCCATCTTCAATCCGAAGTTACAAAATAAAAAAACGACGACTAGAATCAGAAATGAACAAATGCTAACGCTACATATCTGAAAATGAAAGCCTAACGTTAAACCATCAAACATATAAACATTATACCTCAAATTACTGGGATAACCATACTTTACAAACGGAAACCAACTCCATAGCTATCAGAAACTATCAGAGAAACCAAACACATTCGTTGATCATCAGGTCACAGTCACTCAATAGCTCACAGCTAAATCGCACGGCCAAGCAATCAGCTACCGCAAGTGTGCACTACTACAAGACCAGACGTACGACCAGCTCAATAATCCAACCATCCATTCACGGATCTAAACAAACTCCGGTGCATTCCGAGTTCATCACTCGCTATCAATCCAAATTCAAACAGTAAGGATCAGATCCAAACAATTCCAACATTCGCCGCCAATGGCGTCATACACTGAAAACGACGATTACTAAGCCTGATCCTCAGGGGTACAACATCGAATGTTACAGAAGGAGACAATTCCATCAACCAAAACCGAGGCTAAACTAACAGGCCGATAAATGATAGAAACGCCGAGAGTATTAAAGCGCATCAAGCAAATGGAGATCTCGAGAGGGAGGGGACCACGATGATACCTTCGAATTTCTCTTCGAAGAAGACGGTGGCGGAGGCGAGGGCGAGAGAGGAGAGCAGGAGGATCAGGCAGAGCGAATTAGGTTTCGCCATGGCCGGCGCGATAGATACGAAGAGAGGGAGGAAGTTGTAGTTGGACTCTGATAGAAAGAGAGTGCGAGAGTGGTGAAAGAGGTTTTTATAGCAGGGCTCTGTTCATCGGTTCTGACGGCGGGCGGGCACACTCACTTCCCCCATTCGCCGTTAACGTCCTACGTGGAGGACGGGAGGGCAAGCAGCAAATGATAGTCCGCCACGTCGTTCAAGGGTGTCATTTGTGTCAACGTGGCGCGGGGGGATTGGGAAGCGACACCGAAATGGAGCTGTTTTCTTGTGAAGGTATTTTTTTCGCGGGTGCCGGCCGTGAGAGTGTTTACACGTAGTGGGTTTCCATTGGTTAACGGATGGGTGGGACCAAAATGGAGATGGTATGGAATTAATTAAAATTTCGAGTTAATATTTGACGTTTTTTATCCTTTTTTAGCCGATGAGTTGGGATTTTTCTCTAGAATCATCTATTTTAGGTAGGGCTGGAAGTTTGGTACCGGTATTTGGGATATACCGAATACCGTATCGAATTTGTCTATATTTGGTATTGCCAAATACACGTATTATTTTGTGGGATTGGGATTGGGATTGAATTTCAGTTGTTATTCTGTATTAGGGATTACGAGATTGGGATTGGGATCGGGATATACCGAAATACCGATCAATACCGAAATATAAGCTAGTGCGTAATTTATCCTTTGAACTAGACTCTCTCATTCACTACTTGGCGACCATCAACTACCAAGAGTGTCATTTAATTATACATAGATCATTCCATCACTATTTCACACTAGTATTAGTCGTCTCTCAAATTCAAATTCGTCAAATTAAAGATTACCAATTACAAGAACTTGAGATATTAACTCTAGGCAACTAAAGACTCTTTGCTTAGTCTCTTTGCCCTAAATTAAACAATAAAATCTAATTTATATATTTAATTATTAATTACAAAGGTAATTAATTTTGTATTTGATAATACCGATTGGGATACCGAGGTACCAATTGGGATACCGAAATACTCAGAGATTGGGATACCGAAATTATTTAGGGATTGAGATTGGGATTGATTTTAGGGTGTAATTCAGTATTCGGAATTTCGATATTTGGTATTGGGATACCGATACCGTACCGATTTCCACCCCTAATCGTAGGAGATCATATGTGATAGAGGATTAGATAGATGCCAGAAATTAAAACATAAGGGTGCATTGATTTGCTTAAAATTAAAGAGATGAAAAATATATTGTTTGAACATTTAGTCTGGTTACATTTTTATGGAACATTTACTTTAAATTTATAGGTAATTTCAATTCCATGATTTTATTTTTGGAATATGGCATCTCTAGTCAAATTAGGGATGACAACAAAACCCGAACCAACAGGTACCCTACCCGACCCAACTCGGTCAATACGGGTAAAACCCGTGTTGACGGGTTTTGGGCCGAGTCTGGGTTTAAACTCGTTTACTATTCACAAGGTTGATTGGATTTGGGTTTAGGTGTACCCGACCAATGGATACCCGCACACACCCATATATTTAATTTTCTCGGTATATTTTATTCCAAACAATTAATCTTTTTTATGTATAATTTTTTCTTTCAAATTGTGTAGAATGAAGATATTATCGAGTGGAGAGTGAAGAAGCTTGATTGACAAGGAGGAAGAAACTTTCAATTAATCATGTTGTTTATGGATAATTTATAATTTGCTTTAATTTTCTTGAGTTTTCTACATTGGTATTGAACAATTTGTATGGTTAATTTGTGATTTGCTTGAATTTTCTAGAATGGTGGTATATACATGGATAATTTGTATTGAGAGATTGATATTTGACTTTTATTTTGATAGAAACTTGTTATTGTAAATTTTTTCCGACAAAAACCCATAGGTACCCATGAATCCGCGGATACCCAGCTGGTTGGGTTGGGTTTGGGTTTCCAAACACAATGGGTTTTACCCCCAATTTTTTTTTCATGGATAAACCCATGGGTTTGGGTTTGGCAAAACCCAACCCATTGCCATCCCTAAGTCAAACACAATGGGCAAAATATAATATCTATTTTGCATCCAAACAAATGATTTGTTATTCGTAATTATAAATCTCGAATATAAAGCGTCACAGCCAAACTCACTCTAAAAGAATTATAAGAGAAGAGATGCAATTGAAGGGAATTGTGTTCTTATTTTTTATTTTTCACTTGAATGTAATTAAAATGCGATAACTAATTTCAAACATACCCAATGACCGAAATTGTGTAACCTAAGAGTTTTTGCTTACCTTTTCTAGCCTAATTTCGACAACGAAATATATAATTTAATCGATTTTGGCTTTACCGCTACAAATACATTTTCACTAGTTATAACGTAGTGATAACCATTTTAACCATATTAAACTTAGAATTCAAGTTTTGGTTGGCCAAAAAGTGTAGAAGAAAAGCTCCAGTAAGTATAAATACAGACAAGCTCTCACACACACATATATATATATATAGCAAACATTAAATCGTACAAGGAACTCATTGCAATTTGGATATCTCCATAAGTGGAAAAATATTGGGTATAACTGTATAAAAATAGGAGACAAAAGGCAAAATGATATTATGCATTAAAATTTCTGGTGGGTGTGCCCAACACCAACAGGATAGACTCTTCCAATTTTTCAAGTTAAAGACTGCCACTTTATTTGTTTATCCTAATTATAAATGACCCACTTGCTGATGATATGGCTCGATTACTTGGATTAGAAGTTACTCTTCAGTCTGCAAGAACAGTGCAGAGAGATAAGCAACGTGCACATAGCTTGCTCAAATGATTACGGATTGGTGTAGTTACTAGTTGGAAGGAAAAGAGCACTAACGGCTCTTGTTCTGAAATTGCTAAAAGTCTCAAGACCAAAACAATATCTTCCAGAAAGATAGAAGTTTGAGTTTAAATCTTCCTTCATTGTAATCATTGACCACCTTATTGCTGACAGTAAACAGTTGATTTCTTCAATGTAAAAGCTTGCACATCTTGTTGATAATGAACAGTTGATCTCTTCAATGTTGGAAGAGGAAAAGGAAAGTATCCATGTTTTCAATGTTCTTGTGAATAGTTCTTCCTGTCCTTTTGGGCAGATGTCAATGGCAACAACTTCAGGACCTCATTAGAAAACAGGTGAAGGATGATCAAGAAGTCATCATAGTTATATTAGCTAACCTAACTCGAGGTTAAAGCAAACATCATTACAAGTACAGTTGTACAGATGTAGTTGAATCGATAAGAGCATCAACCACCCGCTACCCATATGTGCATCTCCATCAACTTCAGAAGGCCACATTGAATCCTACAATTCAGGCAGCAACTGCATTGCTCATGAAGGCAAAGGCGCATGAACTTTCCTGGGAAGACCAGTAACAAGATGCTCAAAAGACGTGCTCAGCCTCTCATCATAACAAAGCCAACTCCAAATTGAAGCGAAAAGGCTATGGCTTTCTCAACGACAAACAACACGAACCATTGTCCTATTTCCTTCAAGATTCCAACGTTACCAGCTCCCATGTCCTCAAAATCGAGCAGCATATGCGTCTACCATCATCAAACAATTGGTCCATCGCGCCACTGATCATATGATTTAGGTAATAGATGAGTTGCCCATAAAGGCAGAGGCGCATGAACCTTCATGGGAAAGACCAGTCATAGGATGATCAAAAGACAAGCTCTCTGCATGTAATTCATGGCCACTGCACACTTCCCCATTCCACTCATGAACTCCTTCATACTTCACATCACCCTTTATCGACAACCGCTAGTGTCTCGATCGAGCCGATTCACCAGGTGGAGCTCCGGAGGGCCAATTGTATTGCCTGCAACACAAACATCCGATTTGGAGCTCGTACTTCAAATTCATTATAGTCTTGGGGGAAAAGTTATTAACTTTACCAAAACACACCAAGATATGTAACTTCAATTGGGAAGGACGGGGCAAACAATAAGTTACTGAAACTTCGAAGTGACCTACCAATGGCGTCTATGACTAGGGCGGTTTTTGAGAGAGAAAGGAGAAGGGCTGGGACGGATTCCAACACGAACTCGCAGTAAATTCCTTGACGTTTATTGACGGCCATTAGCCATTGATCTTCAAACAAGACATCCGTCGTTGACAAGGAGAAAAGGCTGGATCTTGAAGAGGCGGACATGGCTCTGGCGAGCTCTATGTCCTTGGAGATGGCGGAAAGAGGTGGGGATAATGGTTTTGGGTAATTTTGCAGGGAAGCGGAAGGGGAAAGTTCAGATGGGTTGTTGATGGAAGTTGACATTTTAATGGCGGGGATTCTGTGAAGGGAAAAAGGGAAGAGGGGTTTCCAGGAGAAGGAGAACAAGGGTTTTGCGGGAAGAGAGATGGAATTCATTACACTTTTTGAGTATGAAGTGGCAAAGGGGGGCGCCTTGGCGGTATTGGTTTGGTTATTTGCGACTCGATCAATTTTCACAACCTAAACTAGCTTTGATCTGACCCGTTGGCCGGATTATTTTAATTTACTAATTATGGAATGGAGAGATCTAGAGCAGAAAAACATTTATTTGGGTCGAACCCACAATTTGAATCTAAATATACCTATAAAAAAATATCGCTCATCTAACTATTCGCATTAAACCAATTCACACCTTCATTATCAGTATTTCCATATTTATGTTTGTTATACAAAAAAAATTACGAAAATTACATTAGAGTTGATATTCATTTTTTTTTGTGCCAATGTAATAGGTCTAATTTAGACTCAAACTAAATAGTCGTTTATTGGTATGACCTTCAAGTGATATTACCAAATATGATTTGACTAGTAATAAATTGGGTTTGGGAAAGATATTTTTTTTGCAATTCATAGTGGAGAGAATTCTTTAGGCCACGTTTGGCATTAGTTTTTCATTCACCACCACATCCAATGCTAAGGTATCACTTTCCCATAAGACTTTTTAATTTACTGCGAAATGAGATGATCTAAATTCCTTCAGTTTTAGGTTTCAAAATAGTAAATTTGCAATCACTTATTTACATAGTTCCATCTCCTACTTTTAAATGTGTGAGATTTAAAGTTTCTTTATCTAAATTTCATAGCAAAATATGAACCTGTAAACATTGGCAGAGGTGAGTGAACAACTAAAAATCACAATGATTGTAGCTTTAGTGGTATGGAGGTACATTTGAGCTCATAAATTAATTAACAACATCTCATCTTTATTGAAAACTAAGCGAAATTTAGGGAGTCATTCATTGTTATATAAAAGTATTTGAGTTAAATATGTTTGAAAACTGAAACTGCATGCATTAGTGAATAATAGAGTTCTTAATATATATATAATAGAGGAGTATATTATAACTATAACCCATTAAAAAATATACAACAAATTTGTTCGGTCTAATTTGTTATGACCAAGGTTGTCACTCGATTTCACAAATGAATCGTTTAAGCAAGTGGGTTAACGATTAATTGATGAATTGGATTAACCCGATTAAGCCTAGCTTTACCCATGTGCATGAAAATTTTATTGATTTCACATGTATTATGCCTAGATATTTATGAAATTTTCTACGATAAATTTAGATACAATGACGATTTAATATAACTTATTCGTTGTAATTGAGTTTCATTTTTATACTTTTCTCTCACTTGGAACTGATGTTTTAAAAAGACGCTTTAATTCTAAATATCTTCCCTCTTTCTTTTTATCTTTTTTCATTTCATCTTCTATTTTTTTCTTTTATTTTCTTCTTTTCATTGCATATCAAATTCCATTCTCAATGTTGTTACTCTTCTTCTCCAATTCGATTTCATGTATATATATACAAATGAGGACATTGATCTTTGTTAATCACACAAAGTCTCAATCCAAATATATGTTCGTCTAATGTTGTGGCTTATTCTTTGTTTGAGATGTGGTTGATTGGCGATGTGACCTTGCCTCTGGAAGGAAAATGGAATTGACTACTGAGGAACAGTGTTGGCTTTTTAGATGATTGGGACTTGTATTGTTGCCTGCCGATACTAAAGGAGGAAAATATATTATGGGATAACCGAATACGAGTGGTTGATGTATGTTGCTGCATGGGTATTTGATCAAGAAAAGGACGACATGTCAACAGAGCTAGTGATTAGATTTGTTGAAAATGATATCGGTTTGAAGTGACTCAATGCTTAGATGAGTTAGTTGAATCAACTTGATTTTTGAATTCAACTAGTTTTCTTAGTTTGACCAAGTTTGGGTTGATAACCAACTGGGCCTCCAACATCCTAACAAATACTCGGGTTTGGGCAAAACTCATTCGCCCAACTATGTCAAACTTGGGTTGACAATCAGGCTTATGATTCTTGTCTTTTTTGGAAGATACATTGGTTCAAATTCCAATACTTTTTTATTTTCTACAAATAAATAAGTTTAATAATTGTGAAGACAAATATACCATTCATACTTTGCTCTCATTGTAGGAATTTGAAATGGGAAAATACTTTTCTCATTCCAGTCTTATATATTGTATTGTGTTTAGACGTAGACATATGTCATTGTCCTAGATCATTAACATGTCAAATAGTCGTGAAATGAACCAATAATTAAGCTCAATCTCGTACAATAATCATTAGATCTAATCATGCCATATTAGGGACATGTTGAAAGCTTAGCAGTTAACCCGGCTAAAACGTTAAAAAAACCCAGTCTCATAAAGTCTACATAATGATATGCAAAGTAGTCAAAATCAGGATTTTACCTAAAATAAAAAATGGGGTAAAATCGAAATCGTAAAATCGTAGGATTTTAAGTATCATATAAAACATAACATATAATAATATTAATAAGGTAAATCATTAATGACACAAAGATACATAACATTTAAAATAATAATTCTCAAGATTCTTTTTTGACAAAAGATAATTCTCAAGAGTAAGGTTCCAAAATAACTATTTTAATTGTTATTTAATGCATAACTCAAAATAATTCACGAGAAAGGGATAGAGCTCAATGGGTTTGACTTTATTTTCATGTTGTGTCTAGGTAGTTTAACTCACAGTAATATTCCGATATCGCCTAAGTATGATTTAAAACTAAAATAATTGAACTCCAATAAAATAAGTAATGCTAGTGAGTTGGTACAAATATATTTATTAATAAATTAATTAGTTAATAATGATTTTAATTCTTACGCACTTCTAATATTATGACAATTTTTTTACCAATAAGTTAACTAGGTTGAAGGGAAAGGGATTGACCGAGCCATAAATTGGTTATTTTATTATTTTTAAATATTTTTTTAATAGAAAAATATTTGAGAAGATTCTCGTCATTGCCCTTTCCACCGAAACAGTTATGTTTTTTTTTTGTCAAAGATCGGGAAGGTAATAGATATTACATGACGCTAGACAACCAAACGCGACAGTCGACACTATATCGAGCTGTCGATGAAAGGGCATAAGAAGCCACTAAGTGGGCAGCCCTGTTGTACAACTTTGGCGTAAACGTACAAACAAAGAAATTAAAAGACTCGGAAACCAAACAAATCTCGTCTAAGACCGCTCCACAAGTCCCATGCGCCACATCCTGGTCTTGAATCCTGCGAATCAAAGGTTGACAGTCTCCACAGAAATTGGCAACCTTAAACCCATGCAACAAACACCAATTAATCGCATCACGAAAAGCTAAAGCTTCAGATACAAATGGATCAGACACACCTGGATAAAATTGCCCGAATGCGAACAGAACCTGCCCCTCAGGGGTATAGCCTACAAAGCCAGCGCCACCACCGATTCCCCGCTTGTACGCGCCATCAAACCTGACCAAAATCCCATCCGTTGGACATTCCCCTGCACTTTGTAGCCGATTCAACCTCGGCACAGCCTGTGCAGCGTCAACCGAATCCCCACCAAGTCCCCTGCGCAGTGTCAATGGCGCGGTAGCAAGCCTCCACTCTTCAGACTGAGCCCTGAATTGTCGGAGAAGGGCAGGCCCTAAGTACTGAACGTGCTTATGTACCGCCCAGCATCGGGATTTCCAAACTCGCCAACACAGAAATACAACATCAGCCATCACGGGTTTAGATAAGTTGCAGGAAAAGAATAGAGCAACCCAACACTCCGAGAAGGATAAACTAACCAATCTCCGGCGCAGATTCCCCAAACCAGCTAGATCCCACAAATCAGTTGCGACCCGACATTGGAGAAAGGTGTGGGTCAAAGTTTCCGCCCCTGCCGAACAAATCGGGCATGTGGCATCCGTAACCAGACGCTTCCCTTGTAGTACCGCACATACTGGAAGGAAGCCCCGAACTAGCCGCCACCAGAAAAATTTAAGTTTGGGTGGTACCTGCAAGCCCCAAAGCATCTTCCAAAACCTGCTGTCATAAGGCAACGGGGAAGGAGGATGTAATGCAAGCAACTCATTAGACAACATGTGGTAACCCGTCTTGACAGTATATTCCCCGCTTGGAGAATAATGCCAGATTAGCTTGTCCGGCTGTGGCTGAACCGCAAGGGGAATGGACATGATCAGCGATACCGAGCATGGTTGAAACAGACTTCCAAGCAACTGCAAGTTCCATGAACGAGAGGCAGGACAGATTAGTTCAGAGACAAAAATTGGACAAGCCCAAACATTCTGAAGTAGCAGAGGAGAGGAAGGAGGGTTAGATGGCAGCCACTTATCTGCGAGGACTTGGACGGTAGTCCCGTCACCAATCCGCCACCGCTGGCCCTTAACGAGGAGATCCCGTCCAGCTAAAATGCCCTGCCAAGCCCAAGACGGCCAAGGACCGAGTCTGGCTTCCAGGAACGAGGAGTGAGGGTACGATTTCTTTTAAATTGGCCCAACCACCTATTTTGTTCTCATACGATCAAAATCTTGATTTTGGTACGATTTTACGACTTTAACGATTTTAATCCTGATTTTAAACGATTTTAAGGTCCACCAATTTTATAGTAAAATCAAGATCGGAATACTTAAGTAAAATCCTCAAATCCTACGATTTTACGATCAAAATTCCGAACTTGACTGCATTGAGGATAAGATTTCTTCATAGTTAATTCTAAAAATTAATACTAATTTAAAATTTTGACGTTGCTTCGACCTATTTAATACTCTAATTTTATATGCAATATTCAACCAAGTGATATATGTGTTGCAATTTTAAAGTTATCCTCTGTTTATAATATACATTGAAATAAAAATTAAGTATTAAAATACAATTAAAATAATAAAAAATAAGAAAGTCGAAGTATCAAATCACCAAATAAGTACTTATGAGAGATTTAGTTGCTAGCTAACCGCTGAAAAGGTCTTCTGATTTTTGATATTTTAGGTTTGTGTATGTTTTTCTTTGAAAAGATATAACAAATATATGTAGCGTGATTGGTTATAGCCCTTCCCTCTCTTAAACGTGGTCA